CAAAGTTGCTTCTTTGAGATTAATAAACGTTATAAATCTCTTTCTAGCCAGAATGATCAGGAAGAGAAGTAAATTCCAATTACCAATATCAAGAATGAGAAATATGGTTCTACTGCTAATTGTACAGATACTAAAAGGACAATAAAAGGGGCAAGCATTGTGGCATACTGAGTTAAGCTGCTGCCTGCGGCACTAGCCTTCATATGGGCACTGGTAGGGACCCTGGCTGCTCCACTTCTGATGCAGCTCCCTGCTAATACGCTTGGGAAAGCATCAGAGGACAGCCTAAGTGTTTGGGCCTCTGCACCCCTGTGGGAGATCCTAAAGAAACCCCTGGCTCCTGGCTTTAGCCTGGCCCAGCCCCAGCCACTGCAGCTATTTGGGGAGTGAACCAGAGGATGGAAGATTCTCTCTCTCTGTCTCTCCCTCTCTCTATAACTCTTTCAGATAAAATAAATCTTTAAAAAGGACAACAAAGTAGTATTATGGACAACAGTATGTACTTTCAACAACTTGGTTGAAGCAGACAATTTCCTTGACTACACATGAGCAAAACTCTTGTTAAGTTTGTGGATGTTTGGCCCGGCAGTTAAGATGTCAGTTGGGATGCTCATGTCCCATAATGGAGCACCTGAGTTTGAGTCCTGGCCTTATCCCCACTTCCAGCTTCCTGCTAACGCACACCCTGGTTGACAGCAGTGATCACTCAACCAGTTGGGTCCATCGCACCCATGTGAGATACTTGACTCTCAGCTTTGGCCTAGCCCAGCACCAGCTGTTGCATACATTTGGGAAGTAAATCCGCAAATGGCAGATCTCTCTTCCTCTCCCACTCTGCATGGGTGCCTCTCAAATAAACAAATATATATATATATATACATATATATATTTAAAATGTCTGTCAAAAAGAAATAATCTGTATAGCATTATGTATATTTGTGTGTGTTTATAAATATATGTAAATTTAAGAAGTTGGATAAAGGAGTAGACATAGAATATAATTGGATCTCACAGTCATTAGTCTAAATGAAAGAAGCAGAGAGAAGATTAACACAAATGCTAATGGAAAATTAAATTTTAAAAGGTTGTTTTGGTGCAAAAAGGTCTGAAATATATATGTATACATATGTACATATACATATATATGACAACTTCAACAAGTCTGTGGAAAACATGTTTTGAAAAATCTGCATGACTTTGATAGTTTTGCATCAAAATAAACATTTTAAGTCTATTTTCCAAGAGTTTTTTGAAGCACAATTATAATGTTTAATTCAATTTATGTAAAATTTTTAAAAAATGCAAACTAAAATTCAAGGACACCAAACAGGATAGTAGTAGCTTATGACTGCGGGAACCGTAAAGCCGGGAAGAAGAGCTTACACTGTGCGTGAAGAAACCTTCAGGCAGAATGCATCTGTCCAGATGACTGTAGCAATGGTTACACAAGTTTATAAATATGTCAAGTATGTCAAAGAATCACTTCAAAATATGTGGTTTTTGTTTCTCTATCTGACTCAGTAAAGCTATGATGAAATTCTAGTGCAGCATTTTTAATTGCCATTAAAATGTTATAGTACAAAAGAGTTATTTTGTATTAAGTACATTTTAATAAAAGTATTTATTTCATAATCTGTTTATTTTAATGTCCATAAAATAACAACATATTGCTCAAATATAAATTCAAACTAATTATTTATATACTCTATTTTGTGACATACTCAAAGATATTTTATAAACAAATAATATATGAAGAATCTGTAATTGTAGTAAAAATAGTCTGTTCTCCTGGTGTGATAGTCTGCTAGTCGTGAAATAACATTGTCTGACTAAGGAGAAAGATGGGTAATGTTCCCATAAAGTATTTAACTCTGAGCTGTACATCATCAGAATGTGTCCTCTAATGTGAATAAGCTGGTACATATGTTTCTGGGGAGCTAAAAAAAGTTGAGTTGTGGCCGGCGCCGCAGGGCTCACTTGGCTAATCCTCCGCCTGCGGCGCCAGCACCCCAGGTTCTAGTCCCAGCTGGGGCGCTGGATTCTGTCCTGGTTGCTCTTCTTCCAGTCCAGCTCTCTGCTGTGGCCTGGGAAGGTAGTGGAGGATGGCCCAGGTCCTTGGGCCTGGCATTCTCCCTGCACCCACATGGGAGACCAGGAGGAATCACCTGGCTCCTGGCTTTGGATTGGCACAGTGCACTGGCCGCAGTGCACCAGCTATAGCGGCCATTTCGGGGGTGAACCTTTCTCTCTGTCTCTCTCTCTCACTGTCTAAATCTACCTGTCAAAAAAAAAAAAAAAAATTGACTTGTAAGACTTGTAAGCAGAAATACTGCATCTAATCAGCTACACTTTGTCAAATATACACCAAAAATTAAACTTTTAAACTTAATATTCATGAAGTGTTTTTTTCTTGGCATTTGATCAATACTAAAATCAGTTAATTTTTATAAACCTCTTCCAATTGCTGTGATGAAGCCCAGGTAGTTAACCTATAGCAAGATATGTTGTATTTTCCATTACACTTAATAAGCATAAGAACATGCATTGAACCCCTCTAGGTAACCCTTTGAAATCTGAGACATAAGTTAAGAAGTAGGGTGATTAAAACATCTGTTTTAAAGAAAATCTCCTAGGTACCAAGCAGAGGTGATAGGACGAGAGACATCCTGGAGCTAGGACTCTGGAAAAAACTTTCAGGTGAAATGATATTCTATCTTGTGCCTGAACAATACATCAGGGGTTGCCAGCTGAAGAGAAAGGTGAAGGTTATTTTAAACAGTTTTGAGGAGAAAAAAAAGAAATTTAAATTTAGACAGAGTATGAGTTGAGATAAAAACTCAGCATTTCTTCATCTTCCCTTCCCTTCCTTATCTAAACAGTTTAGACAAAAAGCCACTTAGAAGGGCCTAGCAGGGTCGGTATCCACAAAAATAGGAAGGGAGCCATGGTGGCCAAGAGCTTAGTGCTGGTGTCTGAGTGACGTCTGGAGAGAGGGCCAGATGGTGGTCCAGCTCAGTGCTGGGTTGTCGCAGGGTGAGGAGGACATTCATGGAGGCAGTGCTTGTGGTCCGGATGGTGTGTGGGATTGGAGTCCATCTGGTGTGAATAGGTCATCTTTACAAGAGAACAGCCAAGAAACAGAGACCAGGCAAGATGAGGAGCGGACCCTGTGGTGTTGGATTGGAACTGAAGATGTCAGGGTGAACCAAAGCTTTCATTATAAATGGATGTACATGAGGGGACTTCAAAAACTTCAAATAAAACTCATATTATCTTTTCATTCCATTTTCCCCACGCATGTTTGAAGCCTATTTGTAGTTAATGTAGATATAAATGAGTGTGTGTTCACGTTTGTACATGTGCAGGTTTACATATTAGTGAATAACATATTCCTAACTCTCCCTGAGAAAGCATCTGAGAAAAACAATAACCTAAAAGCAATGAGCATAGGTGATGCCCAGATCATGAGTTCTGATTTCTACTTTTCCTCTACAGTTAGCTACAGCTTCTTAGACTTGTACAGGGAAGGTAGAAAATGAGTCTGAATGATTTTCTTGTGCCATAAAACAAAGAAATACACGAAGAATGTTGAAGATTTGTCAGAAGGACACATGAAACAAAATGAAGGTGACCACCTGATATAATTTAAATATCACAATAAATAATTATAGTAACATCGGATAAAATTGAAATCCATAAATCCACATCACTTTGAATATTTAAATCTCAAAAGCTTTATGAGAAGCAGGATATTTATCCTAAAACAACAAACTGTGGTAAGACTGTAGGGAGAATTACAATGCTTTGATATTACATTATTTAAAACACAGTTTTTGTGAGCTACAAACATTTATAAGCTATATACAAACAAGAAAGCAGTCACAGGAAAGAAGCTTAAAATAGCAACAGAAACAACTCAACACTTTAAAGGTATCCTCAATAAAATTAAAAATTCTGACTTCTATCAGAAACTATGAAGCTTGGAAGGCAGTGGGATGATACAGGTGAAGTGTTAAAAAAGAAAATCTATCAACTAAAAATTCTTTATACAGAAAAAGTAGTCTTTAAAAATGAAGAAGAAATTAAGACCTTCTTAGATATTCTTAGAGAATATGTCCTTAGCAGATACACATTACAAAAATTATTAAAGGGAGTCTTTCCAAATTAAATGAAAGGTCAATAGACAGTAACAAATTTACACAAAAAATTAAAAGACACTGGTAAAGATAGTTACATAGGTAAATATAAAAGGCAGTATAAATTTGTGTTTTTCTTGTAACTCTTCTCCTTGATTGAAAACATAAATTAATAATTATAAAACTTGATGATGGGATTATATGATAGGACTTCAAAAAGTTCACATAAAGATGAAATGAAAAATGTTCGGCCGGCGCCGTGGCTCACTTGGCTAATCCTCCGCCTGCGGCACCAGCACACAGGGTTCTAGTCCCGGTTGGGGCGCTGGATTCTGTTCTGGTTGCTCCTCTTCCAGTCCAGCTCTCTGCTGTGGCCCAGGAAGGCAGTGGAGGATGGCCCAAGTGCTTGGGCCCTGCACCCGCATGGGAGACCAGGAGGAAGCACCTGGCTCCTGGCTTCGGATCAGCACAGAGCACAGGCTGTAGTGCCCATTTCGGGGGTGAACCAACGGCAAAGGAAGACCTTTCTCTCTGTCTCTCTGTCTCTCTCAGTGTCTAACTGCCTATTAAAAAAAATGTTCATTTTAGTGCAAAAAACTTTTGAAATCTCTGTGTAGTTTTTCATAAAACACATTTTCTGTTAACTTTTTGATGATCTCTTTTATTGTATAAACATAAACATTTTATTGACAACAATTGTACAAACAGGAGGGAAGGAATATAGATATATGGGAGCAAAATTTTTTACTAATATCAATACTAAGTTGATATTATCATTATATTGTTTTAAAGGTAGATGTTAATGGCAATCTCCAGGGCAACCAGTTAGAAAATAAATCTATTAAAGGAAAAGAAACAAGAGAATTAAAACAGCGCTTTATAAAATATTTAATATAAAAAGAGGGTAATGGAGGAACCAAAGGGCATAAAAACATGACACTAAGATATTGAAAGTCAACAGAAAACTGTAGTTTTAAATTCTGAATAATTACAACAAATAAAAGTATATGAAAACTCCAGTCAGGAGGCAGAGATTTAGAAAATGAATTTTAAAATTTGTTCAAATATGTGTTGTTTACAAGAAACATGCTTTAGGTTCAGAGGCACAAACAGTTAAAAGCTGAAGCATGTAAAAAGATATTCTAAGCAAAATACAACCATAAGACAGTAATACTGGACAAAATAGGCTAGTAACCACCCCTAAGAAACTCACTAAAGACAGTTAGGGACATTTTATAATGATAAAAAGATTCTTCCCTCAGGAGTGACAATAATTGTAAATATATGATATATGATATAGTTGCACCTAAAGCATCCTCAAATACATGAATCCAAACCTTGCAGAATTGAAGAGAGGAATAGACAATTCAACAATGATAATTAGAGACTTCAATAGTCCACCATTAAATCTTGTTCAGAACAACTAAGAAAAAGATAAAAATAGAAGACTTGAAATACAGTATAAACAAACTAGTCCCAGTAGACATCTGTAGACCACCCTACCCAAGAACAGCAGATATAAGATCTTTTCAAGTACCCATGTTATGTTTTCTATAGCATATACGCTAGGCTCCAGGTTAGAACATAAAACAAGATCAAAAATTTTAAAAGTTAAAACTGTACAAAGGATGTTTTCCAATCACACCAAAATAAAATTATATTAAAAATAAAACACAGAAGCAACATATAAACAACTACATATATGTAATACATATATAAATATATATTTAACTGCTAGTAACAGTCAACTCTCCCCCCCCCAAAAAAGGAAGAAATACTCAAATTACTGAAATCCAAAATAGAAGACAGGATATCACTACTGTGAATACTATGAAAAATTGGATCCAAATAAATTATATAACCTAAAAGGAATCAGTGAAGTATTCAGAGGTTATGGAGTATTAGTTCAGCAACTTACTCTTAAATGATTCAGAATAAAAGTTTTAAAAATATATTTTCAATTTCTTTAAATATAAAATTGTTTAAGAAACATAAAAATAATTATTCTATGTCAGCTTACTGTTCTCTGTAAAGCTTATTCTTCTAAGAAAAAAATAATACCAAAAATAAACAGTAGTGGTTTACCTCTGGTCAATGGCAAAATTCATTAAGGTATAGATCTTTTTAACCTACATACATGCCTGAAGACACACACAAGAATTTCTGAATTTGTGATTTCAGATGTGGCGTAATGTCAGAATCATCTACATTTTAATGACTGTTGGAATGCGTTGCTAATACCAATGGGGATTCATTGGAAGTGAAGAAGTCAAGGAACTGGAATACATAGGAATTGGAGCAATCAGGCAAGAAGACTTTAGATTGTATTAGATGAAGCAGGGCTTAGGAAGGAGAGAAAGTCGGTAAATTAGGTACCAAGTGTTTCTTGTGAGAAATTGAGTGAATAGACAACTCCGAGGTGAGTGTGAGAGCAGAAGTTTTTAAGTAAGAAAGGAATGGACTTCAAACAAGTTGGAGAAATAAAAAGAAGTGCATAGAGAAGTAATGAAAAGGAAGAACACGGACCCTAATTTCAAATAGACTCAAGAGATCATGCTTGGCTGCCCTGCTTTTGCAATTGAATCAATATTTTAGGGAAGACATCATAGCCAGAAATCAAAGGTAAGTCTGTGCAGTTTGGTTTTAACTACTATCTGCCAAGAAATTGAAGATGAAAACAAATAATTTTCTGTTATTCTTTCCTGGTCCACTTTCAAGCAGAAATAATAGGGAACAGTAAGGCCAAGTAATTGGGCTGATGTTTATTTTTCTTACAAGACATTTGGAGCCTAAGATGCTTAATGCCACCTGTCACATGCTCCTTGACATGTTAATGATACATGCCCTATTGTGTCATAACGTTGCAAGGCATGATGCTTTAAGGCAGTGTGTTCAAACACACACACACACACACACACACACACACACAGTATTACAATTGTTATAAATTAAACTAATTTTTCTAATCCATATATTTTATTCAAACAGTTACCTTCTCCAAGGAAAGGCATGTGATGAAGAGAAAAGATGTAACACCAAGATTGAATTGGACTTAGATATATTCTGACAAATTGGGGGACATTGGGGAAGAATTTACTTACCTTCTTTATAGTTTCACTTGTGCAATTACGATACTTAGCACTACTACTTTGAATGTTAATTCTAATTTATTTGTGATTTTACTTGAATTTAATTACTTAGAAGTACAGTGAAGCAAAATATCTATTTTTATTCCTTCAGTTTTAAATACCAAATACATATATTTTGAACATGGATTTATGGATTGAGCTGCTTTTCTAGTAGATTAATAAGTGGTAATAATCTACCACTAAAAGTAGTAATAATCTACTTTCCTAGTAGATTATTTCATTAGCCATTTTCTAATTTTGTCTGCCCTATTGTATACCATGTACTCTCAACTATATCCAAATGAACCTATGAAGATGTAGTTTAAGTTTCTTCCTGTTTTCATTCTTCTGTTACACAGCTTGTTTCTCTCCATACTACACACACCTAAAGTCTCAGCATACTAATAAAAGTGGAATAGGAAGCCTGACTCAAGTAAACAGTGGTTTTTATTATGTCTCACTTTGCAGAGAAATGCTTCATTTAGATTACATTCTAATACCCCAAATCATAACAAGATGATAGATTTTATATTCATCATTTATGTCTTACATTATTAATTCTTATGGAAAGTTGTTTATTGTACTTTTGCTTATGTAGACTCTTGTTAAACTGTAACCATTCCAAGATGAGCGTGTATTATCGCTGAACACACTCTTGCCGCAAGGAAAAGGAAATGGCTTAGTATGCAGACTTTTCCACAGAGGAAAACATGCATAAGAACCTAGCAACTCTGGAAGATACCCTGCTTGCTTTTGCTTTAATGCACCCAGGAGACTTCAAATCAATACTTAGTATTAATGCTTTACTTGAGAATTAACATCACCGTAATTGGAAGTGAGGATCAGCATCTTGATGTTTAGGAGAGAGCTATTTGGTAGGGGAGGTCACTGCACCAGAGAGTGAAGACATTGGAAGGGGAAATCACAAATCATTTGTTTCCTTGGGCAAGGACACACAGTAAACACTTGAATTGGTGGTCAGCTATAATTTGCTTCTAGAGCCAGCAACTCTGGCAACACTACACTTTGGATTTATAGCACAGCACATAGGCAGCAGTGACTTTGAAAGCAAAGGATAAATGATCAAAGGGTAAAGTTACTAGTTCTTAAAGATCGGTCCTCATTACAAGGACTTAAGGACTCTGCCCTTAACCTTAAAACAGTAAGCATTCTTGCTACTGATTCCACTAAGCCCCTCAGCTGTTCTTTCTTGATAATTATGCCTGGAGGAAACCAATCATATTTGAATCTAGGTTATTAACAATACTTTATTTTATTTTTTGCCTGGGAATTTCAAACGATATACTCCCAGCCTGAACCATGTAAACAGAAAAGGTCCTTCTCATTTGGTGAAAATGAATATTTTAAAAAATTGCATTGTTTTCTATTTGCTTCCACTGTCTTGAAATTTCCCCGAATAAACGTAAAAAACCACCTCCTTTCAGCAAGATCCCACTCCCCTCCCCCCTCCCGCCCAGTACCACCTTAAGGCACTTTTGCCTCTTCCACCTTCAGGAAGAGTGTCCTGTTGAGGTTTAGCTCCCTAGGACAGTCCAGGGAATTTAAAGGGGGATTTCTGTAGGAATCCTCATTCACAAATACATTCCTCTTCACCTTCCTTCCCATTGGAGTGCCCTTGTCCTTTGTTTCCCTAGGTGTCCCCAGAGTCAAGAGAGGACCCCGTCAGTGAGGCGCCCTCTGCCCTGTCCCGCACCCCGTTGTCCATGCAATGCGCAGAACTGGAGCGCGCATTAGCTTCCGTGTTACTCTCCACGCCCGGCAAGGCCAAAGGTCCCTTCCTTGGCCTGGTGGAAGGGTCCTTGTGAAAGCACAGTTTGAAAAGCCCTAGCACTGTCATGGTCAAGATCACCAGCACTACTACTGCTATGCTCACAAGTACGAAGACCACGGTGGAGGAGGAGCCAGGAGCCTGTGGAATGGAAGGGGAGGATGTGGAATTAAACTGGGGGATAGTACTTCCAGATGGGCGGCTGGTTGTCTCTGATTTGGTTGGAGGGAATCTCTGAAGGGTGGAGGTCGTACTCTGTGCACCCCACTGAATAATCTCTGGAGTAGACATTGCTGAACTGCCTCGTCCAGGCACGTGGGGCATCTCTCCCGGCTTCTGTTCTCTGGGTGACAACGTTCTCTTCGGCACTGGGCTAGCGGCAGTGGCTGGCAGGCGCCTTGTGGGCATCTTAGTCCCGCTATGTTCCGGCTGTGCTTCCTCATTGGTCACGCAAGAGCGTCCGTCTCTCCCCAGCTCGAAGCCCGCAGCACATTCGCAGGCAAAGGCTCCAGAGTCGTCTAGGCAGTTGGAGAGCTCCACGCATTCGCCGCCGCGGAGGTACCGCCCTGGGCAGGCACAGAGCACGGTCTCTCCGGGTAGCCCGTCCCAACGCTCTCCAAACTCGTCCGCGATACAGGTGGCTGAGACCCAGAGCTGCCCGGGGCAGAGCGCACTCACCTTGGTCCCGGGGGGACTGAAGTCCAGCGAGGCGCTGGTCAGCTGGAAGGGCGCGCGGTAACTCAAGTCAGAGGCCGCCCCAGGGCGCGGCGCGGAGCACAAGGCCTCAAACTGGTACTTGCACAGGTAGCCGTTGGCACGCTGGTGGCATCGCATCTCCTTCCAGCCTGCGGGCTCAACTCCCCCGGTGGCCTGGAGTCCTGCGCATCTGCGCGCCGTGCAGGAGCGCTGGGGCTCCTCCACCCACGGCAGCGTGTCGTTTTCGACTCCACTGGCGTCGGGGGACAGCCAGGAGAAACCTCGCAACGGCTCGTTCTCCAGGGTGCAGTGGGAACGCCTGCGCTCCAGCGCCACCCAAAACAGAAGGTCTTTGGAACCCCCTCCGGGCCCTGGACCTGCCCGCAGGAGCGCGAGCACAGCGCGCAACTCGGCGTCCCCTCGCACCGAGCTGAGCGCCCCGCCGCGTAGGTTGCAGGCCTCCTCTGCCGCCTCTCGCTTGATGGTAGCGTGGTGCAGGCTGTAGCAGGCCCCTGAGGCCGAGCACACAGCTCGATCGGCGGTGGGGTGCTCGCCCGCGCCCGGCCCAAACCAAAGAACCTGCCCAAGGAGGCACAGGGCGAGCGTCGGCTTCATCTTGAAGGCTATGCGCCCACAGCTGCTCTTAACTTGGGACTGTCCCGCCCGAGGGCGCAGCACTGCCTCGGGAGCGCGGTCACCGCCCTCTACAGCTGGCTGCCTCCACCCTGTCCTCCCTCCCCTCGCCGCCTCCGCCCTCGCTCCCGCCAGGCCCCACAACCGCCAAGAATCCCCACCATGGTCGCAGCGGCCAACAGCCTCCCATAGGCCGCGACAGGAAATGTGTCGGGAGCTCTGCCAGGCCCGGTGCAGCCCTGATTTATTCTGGGGTCAGGAGCACAGCTGGCGCCAGGGCACATGGAAGGCAGTCCAGGAGATGATCAAGCACCCCCACCCCCCACCCCTGCCTTAGAACAGGAGGAAAAGTCACCACTGGGATGGAGTGGGTCTTTCTTCCCTGCTCGGGGAGTTGCGGCACCTCAAACCTCCAACACAAGTGTTGGACATTGGCAGGAAGGATTAGGAGCCCACGCCCGCTCATTGTGTTTCTGTCCGGAACAGTGGAGTTGGCGTCAGAACTCGCAGACGGCTCCAGCCTTGGGGAGAGTTCCTGTCTGTGTGTGTAGGGGTGGTGTGTGGGTGAGTGTGTGGGTGAGTGGGTGTGTTTGTGTGGTGCTCAGAGAGGTAGAGTGGGGAAGTAATAAACAATCTCACGAGAAATCTTCGTATCCGGCTTCAGCACCAGAGGCCACACTGTTTAACCGCACATCTCTCTCTGGGGATCTGCTTCTCCACCCAGCCAGTGGAGACTGGGGCCCCGTCATTGCTAGTCCAAGAATTTAGAATTCCTTTGGGCATTTGAAATGGGAAACCCTTCTTCTCTCCTCAGCATCTGCCTTAAAAGTTTGTTTTGTACTTTCATTTGTTTCTCTTTGAAGTGGCCAATATTAGTTCATTTGGGAAAGGAAACCTATTTCTAGGCAAAAATGAAAATTAATGACCATAGATCTTAGGTTGCTAGGTGTCCTGAGCATTACATTGGTTTTATATATATAGATGAGCACATACAAGTTATATATAAACTAGGCCTTATTACTATTGCCCTATGTGTTATTTTATCCATGAACTATTTTAATATCATTTACTTCTGTGATGAAGTGCCAATATATATAGAATAAGTTGTAAAGGTTCTCTATAAGGAGCATTGTGTTCAGCATCCTTAGTAATTAAAATATGTATTACATTTTAATTCGTATTGTATACTATAAGAAAACCTCTATTTTGAAAGGGTGAGCTAATTTCTTCAGAATTCTATGAGTTAGTTTTATTATGAACACCACATCAATTGGAAATGGGCAGTAATAAAAGGTGAGAAAAGGAAGGAAAGATAAGCCACACTGTGAAAAGATTTCTTGTTAGCAGCAGACAGTTCTACTTCTTTAGGAAATATATCACCTACTTGTGTGAATTACAGTGACCAAATATGTTGTAGTCACAAATACATAAAGGATATCAATTAAGTCCTCTTAAAATGTTTGACGCATTTAAATATCTGTAATCAGAATGAGATGCCATAGCATGAATAATGCATAGCACACCCTTAAACTCACTTTGTTGTCCTGAACTGGACAGTTCAGATTAATGAGGGGTGGGAAGGAAGGCTTCAGGATCACATCTCTACGCTCCGATCGTATCTTCACCATTACTCTTACTCTCCTTTTCCTCCTGGAAATTTCACGTATCTTAACAACGATGGTAAACACCATGAATCATCATCACATTTAGCTTGCTTTTGCTGACCATAGAGTTTTGCAGTCGAATTTCTTTCCTACCCTTTCTGTTCCCCAAGTTAAAGGGCATTCATTAGTCCTTCATTTGAAATGTCAGAGACATTTAAACATGACTTTGCATTTAAATTAAGTAACCTAATGTGTTATGAGCCAGGAACATGAAAATCCAGAAATTGAGTTGAATGGATTTTTAAAACACTTAATCACTTGTGCCAACTCTATATACCTTTGCAAGCTTATGACAGAGTGTTGGTAAATGTGTCCATATAGAAAGGTATATTTTAATAAAAACTTTTCCAAATTTAAGTAGTCAGTAGAAATGTCTTAGATATTTAGAAAATCACTTTGGATGACATGCAATTTCTACAGTAAGAAACAATAAAAAACTGGAAACTAGTAAATATGTGACCTCATTCTTTGGCATTTTGCTTATGGAAGCTGGAGGCAGAGGGGGAGTATTAGCAAAGCATATACTGGCCATAATGATCATATATCATAGTCCTGGCTGTGCCTGGAATGATGTGAGAGATTAGTTCCAAGTAACAAATGTATCATTTTCTAATTAATCACCATGTTGATCTATAACCACTAACATACTTTGAAATGTATACCATAGCTGAAAAATTGGAAATGGAGGAAAGCTTTTGCTTTTAAATAACATGTTTATTAATATCATAATATGATACCATTTTAACTCCACTGGAGCCCAAAGGTATAAAAATCTGATAATAACAAGTGTACATTTACAAGTTTTTTCATACGTTACAGATAAACTCTTTTGGAAAAGCTTGACATTTTTTCCTGTAATTGCACATCTGCATGCTCCGTATCTCAGCACTTCCACTCCTGGGTGTATGAAGGTACTTCCAAAAGTTTATGGTAGAGTGTTTGGCCTACTGGTTAGGACAACTGCATCCTATACTGGAGTGTATGGATTTGATACCTGTCTCCCTGTCCTGACTCTAGCTTCCTACTAAGGTGGGCTCCGGGACTTAACGGTGATGACCCAAGTGATTAGGTTCATGCCACCCACTTTGGAGACCTGGATTGTGTTCACAGCGCCCAGGTTTAGGCTTCAGCCTGGTCCTGCTCCTTCTGGGCATATATAGAGAGATAAGCCAGTGGATGTAAGCTATTGCTCCACCTCTCTTATTCTCAGGTTTGGATTTAGAAAGATGCTGTATGTTATCAATTGAACACATGGGGTTTTCAAGCTTTTTATTAAGAATCAGATCATTACTTCACAGGGCCAGTCGTGTTCCAAGATCACTGGCTAGTGCTTCTCCAAATAAACTGATCTGAAGTACTAATTTTGGACTTCTTGACAAGCTCTTATTACAAAAAGTATGAAGCATTTTTATTCAGGCTTTTGGACGGCTCACCATGCCTGTTCAAGCCACTAGCTTTATGTTATGATCTGGTTTTGGAGGATTTATATGGGAAGTGGATTTGATAATCAGGACATACTTTTAAGTCCAAAAGTGTGCCTTTTCTTTTGGTACCTGCAGAATTTCCACTTCACAGACCTGGGAGAAGGAGGGGGCAAATCACAGCTCCTTAAATTCAAATCCCATTAGGTTTATCTGTTATCACATTGTAAGTACTAGGGATAACCAGCAATTACTTTAGCATTTGCTTTGTAGAGGCAGTACAACCTTGCAATGATTATTAGTTGAACTTAATATCTGGATCATTTTAAGGCTAATTTATCAGACAAATTCATACACCCCTGCACTGCATGTTCTATAATGGTTTATTCCAAAGATGTAATATAAATTTACTATTTTAAGACTTTTCAAATCTGATACATTCAGAAGATTCTTGTTTGACCTTCAGAATTTGCATTAATTTTTAACATTTTTATTAATATAAAGAGAACAGATTTTATGTCATTCATAGATGCAACTCTAATAATATAATGATACTCCCATCTCCTTTCTTTTTTAATTTTTTTGATAACATATCTTTACTTTATAGTCAAAGGCTTAGCTGTGATTTAGACAACTCTAGTCAATAAAAGTGGATGCCCTATATCATTTTGGTATAATTTCACTTCATTTTGTACTGAAGTCACACATTGTATATGATTTATTACAGTGAGGAGAGAGGAAAAAGAGCTGCTTTCTAAGTATACTAAATAGTATATACATGTCTATAAAAAACTGAAGATCATAATTATCACATTTTTGTTAGATTATATCTTTTGTGAATGATCTTCTATTTTTAAGATTTATTTGAAAGGCAAAGTTACAGAGAGAGGAGAGACAGAGAGACAGAGAGACAGGGAGAGAGAGAGAGAGAAAGAGAAAGAGAGAGAATCTTCCATCTGCTGGTTCACTCCCCAAATGACTACAACAGCTAGAGCTGTACCAGGCTGAAGCCAGGAGGCAAGAGTTTCCTCTGGGTCTCCCACATGGGTGACAGGAATTCAAATACTTGAGCTGTCTTCTGCTGCCTTCCCAGGCACATTAGCTGGGAGTTGCATCAGAAGAGGATTGGTGGGGACTCAAATCAGCACTCATATGGGATGCAGGCATTGGAGGTAGTTGGTTTAACCTGCTGTATCATAACACTGTCCCATGAATGGTCTTATTGTGGGTCTGGCTCTACAGTTTATTGACAGATTAGAACAGTTTGAGCCAACTTTCTCTCAGTACCTTGTATTCCATATAGGAATTCAGAATCAAACATATGTGTGAATATGGCATTGTTTAATAATAATCCTTCCTCAAATACTCTCAATATGCCAGGATAGGTGCAATGGAGGATTTGATTGGGGAATCCTCTGGGTCAGTTTAGTTTTTCTGTTCCCTTCTGTTCTTCTCTAGTCACATGGATCACAGCAGGTGACAGTGAAGAGCAAAGAAAGAATTTCAAAATGCATCATTCTTTATTATCTTTATCATCTAGTGCCCTGAGTGACTACAGCATTCTTGGAATAACATGTATAAGAGCATTCAGGATGAAGGGGTTGGGACAGGGGAGGGTGCAGTGGCCTCTTATGTGCTTTGGATCTTCTTGTCTATTTGTATAAATTCCCCAGCTAGGGAAAAAACTGCATAAATTCCTGTTCACTCATTACCAGAGCCTCTTTGAGAAATAGTAAGGTAGTGGAAAAGCAGAGCTTAGCACAGAGAAGGCTTCACCAGCAGAGAATGGAGAGAACTCAGTAAAGGCTTTGCTGGGTCCCCTTCATCAAGGGACAGACACAATGTGACTTTGGTATACCTAGGAAACTCAACCCAGTGGTCAAGTTGCAGAGAAGCTCTGCTTTGGGAGATTATAAAGATAAAGGACAAGAACTCAATTTGCTGACCTCTTGAAATAAACTCTGCCCGCAGTCTCAAATAGACTTTCCTCCAGGCTTCCCTCTCCAAATATTCTCCACTTGGGAACAAGAATATCTGAATTCAACTGGATAAGAACTCAGGGTAGTGACGTGGTTAAACAAGTTTATGATCAACTTTTTTTTTTTTTTTTTTTTTGACAGCAGAGTGGACAGTGAGAGAGAGAGACAGAGAGAAAGGTCTTCCTTTACCGTTGGTTCACCCTCCAATGGCTGCTGCGGCCGGTGCGCTGCGGCTGGCACATCGCGCTGATGATCAACTTTTATCTTCTGCCTTCAGCTCATCACTGACACACTGGCCTCAGAGGTGTCAGTACCATTCAGGGACCTTGTTTCAAGAAAGAAACCACAGATAGATTTGAATCCTCTTTCCCTTGTCTATGAACAAAAGGATAGTCTTGAATACATCTGTTCTACTCTTTCTGCTCTGACTCTCTCAACCCTAAGTCATCTAGATTTTTGTAGCCAATCCTACAGGATTTACCCTGCTCGTTACCCAGCGCCCTCTGACCCCCACATTAATATAAATCACACATGCACTTAAGTTGCCTTCAAATCTCTATTCAATTAAAAAGCTCTGCATGGTTTATTATTTCCCTCTAACAGAATGAGAAGCTTTTGCTCTATGAACATACTGCCTTGTAGTATTTGTTACTCTTTCCTATGTATTCATCCTGCTTCCCCACATTTCTTGAAGTCATTAATTCTTTGTAATGTGGCTATACCTGTATACTCTAGAGCAAGTAGAATAGCAATGAGCACGTTGTGTGATTAATATCAACAGCTATTAAATTAAGCCCATGGGTGCTCTGCTTTATTGCTAGAAGTTGGTCAGAGCTATGCTTTTCATTTTCATATTAAAGTAATTAAACACCTGCTTTACTTGACCAGTCACTTGTGGTGGCAAGCTTCCCTGGTTTTGAGCTCTTGGTCAGTAGTAGCTAGAGGTCATTTTTGTGAGAGTGAGTGTGAACAGTGACCCATCCATGCAGGTACAGTAAATGTTGATCGACGTTCAGTACATTGATGGTCTGTTCTTTCAAAGCAGTTGAAAGAAAATAGTCAAAATGTGTAAATATTTTAGTTCTTTGCATATGAAGTGGACATTTCACAAATGCCTTTTATTAATTTAAAATATTCTACCAAATATACACTTACATACATTAATGACTGAATTTGGCTACATGTATTTCCACTTGACACCCACTAGGGTAATAACCAAAATGCTTTTTCAGCAAGGATTTGGTTTGGTTTGGTTTGGATTTCACCACCAGGAAATTCCTTTTGATTTGTAGATGTACAAGGTCATCTTAGGAAATTGTTTCACTTTCTTTCCATCCCAAATACAATAAAGTAGTTTTTTTTCTATGACTTATGCTTAAATCTTGTCTTTCTTAACTGCCATTTAACTTGCTGAAAATTGTAATTATGGGGGAATATAATGCCTTGAATTACAAGACAAAGAGTTGTTTAAGTTGAAGATTATCTAGTATTTTAAAAACTCACTTGGAATAACTATTATATTTTAATTTATTTGAGAAGCAGAGAGAGACAGGGCTCCCATCTGCTGGTGGGATATGACTGCAATAGTCAGGGCAAGGCCAAGCTGAAGCTAGAAACAGCGAACTAGGTGATGGACATGAATACCTGAGCTACCACGGTGCACATCAGTCAGAAGTTGGAATTGGGAGCAGAGCCAGGATTCAAATTCAGACACTGTGGTGTGGGACACAGGTGTCTCAAGCAGTGTCTTAGCTGATGCCCCAGAACAACATTCAGTACTATAAATCCTTAATTATTTCCATTAATAGTGAAACCATTCATGGATCTCCATTACTGGAAAGCTAGATTCTTCACAATAAAGAACTGCTCATTAGCTGGTGCCGCGGCTCACTAGGCTAATCCTCTGCCTTGCAGCGCCAGCACACCGGGTTCTAGTCCCGGTCGGGGTGCCGATTCTGTCCTGGTTGCCCCTCTTCCAGGCCAGCTCTTTGCTGTGGCCAGGGAGTGCAGTGGAGGATGGCCCAAGTGCTTGGGCCCTGCACCCCATGGGAGACCAGGATAAGTACCTGGCTCCTGCCATCGGATCAGTGCAGTGCGCCGGCCGCAGCGCTGGCCGCGGCGGCCATTGGAGGGTGAACCAACGGCAAAGGAAGACCTTTCTCTCTGTCTCTCTCTCTCTCTGTCCACTCTGCCTGTCAAAAACTAAAAAAAAAAAAAAAAACAAACAAACAAAAAAAAAGATAAGAACTGCTCATACCCTGTGTTGCTTTACCTGGGGCCCTTGCTGCTTTTTGCAATACTGGGTTTCCTAATATTTTATTTTTTATTATATGTTTTATTGTAATATTTTTATTTATACCCACCATCTTTCTACCATCTTCCATGTCACTTCTTGAAAAGGAATTACTTCATTGATTTTTGGCTTTCATGTTTACTCACTTTTAGTAGAAAATGTCAGTATGTCAGGAAGGACTTGCTTGATATTTAGAATTTTGGTAAGAATCCCTAAGTCGTTTTCTTTGAAATTTGAGAGTACATATGTTACTCAACACAGAGTGAGACTGAACCATCCTTTCTTATATACCATATCTATAATCAAGTGGCTATATTTTTAAAATGCTTTCTGGTTTCTGCAAATTGTACTTGTCTCCATTGTTCACACATGTAAATAGCTCATCATTATTTTAAATAAATCAAATGATATTTACTTCCAGAAAGAGGCCTATTAATGAAAACCACCTATTATACTACATAGACTGATGGTTATTGATACTTGATAAAAATTCCTTATAGTTTTATTCTGAAACATTCTTCTAAGAGCATTATCTAAATCTTGCTTAGCTGTGCTTTCATTAAATTCAGAGTATTATTTTATACATATATATGTACTTTCTTATTAAATGCTATTTTGATTATGATTAATAGTCACCAGTCATTTAAAGGGCATTGTCAAAGACGGAGGAAGAGGGTACAGGAAGGTGAAGAGCTGGAGAAGGTAGGGGTATCAGCAGAGGGGTGTTGGGATTCTGCTTATTCTTGTCTGTTCCCAACAGTATGAAGAGATGGAAGAGGGCTTCTTTATCTCAATTCTTAGTTGTCCATGATGGGGGAACTCAAATACAAACATGGCTTATTAAGGAATTACCAAGAGAAGGCTGCAAACTTAGTCAAGGAAAGGAATGAACATGACTGCTGTTGACATATGATACTCCAATGTTGGAGCACAGATTAGTTTAACCATCACCATCCATTTGGAAAATTATCCTGGAAATACGTGGTACTGGTCATGACTATTAGGCATGTCATGTGTTTAATCTGCTGGGGGAGTAATGGCAAATTTGGGGCAGGAGGACTATCAAATAGAGGTATATTCCTTCCTTCTTGTTTGCTTGTTTGGGAAAAAGTTGAGTAAGTCATTTTTTGCCTTCAGTATAAAAACAAAGGAGAAAATTTCTTTTTTAGCAAATCAAATGTTACAATTCATTTCACATTCCTATTATAAAACAAGAAGCAGTTTGACTAAACAAAATCTGGGCTGAGGGAAATTGACTGTTTTTTGTTTTAACCTTACATTGACAGAAAGCTATTTTGGAAACCTTGAGAATTTGAATGTGTTTTTACTTGAATTAAAAAATTATTGTTCAAATGTTTAAAATTGCATTTTTATTACATTTATGGATGTCTCATACAGGTAAGAGATTTCATAAATGAAGAGGGAGACAAACACAAAAATGTTACATGGACCATTTATTTTCTAATAGCTGTATCTGAGAAATGAAATTTGACTGTTGACTGTGGGTGGCGAGTGTTGCCATAGCAACCTATTCCTTAGGCAAAACTGGAGGGTGCTCATGGTGATGAAGGTAAAAGTCAGAAAACAGACTTGTTGAGATATATTACTGGGCATTGTGAAATTATGAACATTTTCATTCAAGATATGTGAGGGGGAGCAGCTCTGAGAGAGTTAAAGGTCTTAGGTAAGGAGTTGGATATGGTGCTTTGGTCTAAGCATTTGGTCATTATGGGGTCTATTGTCTGGTTGCCTTGGTTTAGCAACACCAGCCAAAGAAAGAAAGAATGAAGGTTGTTTTGTCATACATATAACAGCAAGAGCTCACACCTGTTTCACCAGTTGCTATTTTGCATACTTTGCAATCTTTCTGAGATTTCTAAGCGTTAAGTAATATTATTGGCCCTATTTTACAGGAGGGGAAACTGAGGCACAGGGAAATTCACTAACTATCCTGAGACCCTGCAGAAGAAAATTAACACAATGAATTCAACCCAGGACAATGATCTGAGTCAGTGCTGCCTGAGCTTTTATGTTCGTCAGTATGACACACAGTATGGTGTGAACAAAGGAAATAATGTTTTGTGTGAGAAGGTTCTACCTGCCATTCCCTCAGCTTAAAGATCATCTTAAATGGAAGATTCTAGTGGCAAAACCCTTGAGTAGAATAGACACTAAGCTACTTATCTCTATTGGGAATTTTTTTTTTAAAGAAGAATGTAACGAAGGAAAAGTGAGGGGCTTGAAGCTGGATCAACAGAATCTGTTCTACCAGTGTTGGACAGCTCTATGGCCAACAATTATGCTGCCTTTGAAATTGACTAGCTTATTAATAACTCCAATATTAATATTTTGAGAGTTCTTATTGTCTATTCAGATAAGAATTCTGAATGTCAGCTTGAACAAACCAGGCAACATGGTGAGGTTTTTCGTATTTATTCAGTGAAATTATTTAGTATTTATTCAGCGATTTACACAGGAGAGTAGGGGCTTTATATAGGGGAGAAAGAAGTCTAGAAGTGCAAGCTGGGTCCATACCAGGTAGAGAGCAGGCCAGGAGCCAAGAGGAACAGAGCGTGCAGTTAGGAGCAGACACAGGGAGCTTAGTGTGGGCAGGAAAGCAGAGGCAGAGAGGAGTGACCAGAAGGCTGCAAGCCCAAGGTCAGGGGACAACAAGGGAGGGGCCCACCTTGCTCCAGGCCTTTTATTCACTTTCAAAGGGGCGTGGTCACATGGTCTGATTGGCAGATGAGGTCAGGTAGGGGCATGAGATTACACAGCAGGTAGGGCAAATGGGTGGTCGCCAGTTTGCAAATCTAATCGATTTAATCCTATCTGCCTGCCTATATAACCTTGAGTTCATGGTCATCCTCTGGGTGACCAGGGCAAACCATTTTAACGGCTTTGTGTTTTGGTTTCTTTATCTTTCAAAAATGTGAAGTAATAGCTGGCCACTTTTGTCACAGAGGTATGTGAAAATCAAATGATGCAATGAATATGAAAATGGTTCATCAACTCAACAGGACAAAACAAAC